GTTTTTTTGGCACACTAAATTGTGTTATGTACTCGACGAACATTCTTTGGGAATATCTCTTCCACTTTCAGAACCAATACTTTCAAAATTTGAGCCTATGGAATCGCATTTTTCCAAATATGTGATTTGAACCGATTTCGTGTGAATTGATCTTTTTAGATGTGATGAAACACTGCACTCTTTGTGACCGACATCGCCATGCCCTTGCCCCTACGGACCCAACTTTGTGTCCGAGTACAGTCGACGCGCCGTCTTTGTGACACGGCTGCGTTTATAATTGACTATGGATCAATATCTCCCTTTGTCCCCTCGTGGTGGCGAGCCACAATATTCCCCTCACACTTTTCTAGAAAGTTCGCAAAGACTTTTCCTGATCCTTTGTGCTTTTGCTATCGGGAAAAACCACAATCAAAGTGCAGTGTCATGAAACAGATTTATGCGGCACTTACGTTTGTATCTATTCTTTTGGATCATATCGCGTCGTCATGTGTTATAACCATACCTGCAGCAATTTTCGATTTTGCCGCCCAAAGTAACATGGACTGCCGTTTCAAGTTTCGCTTCAGCAAGTCTCAAATCTTGGAGCTCGTTCAACTCTTCGAGATCCCCGACGCTTTCACCACCAAAACCCGTTACACAGCCTCAGCCATCGAGGCAGTGTGCATCATGCTCATCCGTCTTGCGTGGCCACATCGACTCGGTATATTGGTGCTGACGTTTGGCCGTAGTCGTGAGGCTCTATCGTCCATCGCAAACGGCATGGTTCAGCATGTTTTTAACTGGTTTGGCCACCTGCTGAAATGGGATTTCGACCGTCTCAAAGCCGACTGGATGAAGAGCTGTGGGAACGCAAATCATGCACAAGCAGGTCCCCTTAAAACATGCCTTGGCTTCATTGTCGGGACAGTGCGTGGTATATGTCGATCTGGTAAAAGAGTTCAAAAAGCAGTCCACAATGGTCACAAGGGGAGCTTCATATTACCAACTTTCAATTACAAATAGAGTCTATTCTAGCGAAAGCATGCATTGAAGTACCAAGCTGTGAAATCACCTGAAGTGCTAGTTGTTTCAGGTACTCGCTATGTGATCTACGGAGACCAGCGTATGGGATCAATGAAGTGATAGCATCAGGATTCAAAGGTGCGAGGTTGAATGAGCACGAGGCGGAGTTTAATCGCCACATGAGTGCTTTGCGAGTAAGTGTGGAATGGGGCTTTGGCATTGTCCGCAACTTGTGGACTTTCGTCGACTGCAAGGGTGGTCAAAAGCTGTGGCTGCAGTCTCTTGGAATGCACTACAGTGTGGCTGTCATATTGACAAACGTGCATACTTGCATGAAGCAAGGAAATCAAATGTCCCACTCCTTTGGGCTCAAACTACCTTCTGCCGCACAATACTTGCACTCGAAGCAACAATAACTTGATATGAACTGTACATCATGTTGAAACAACTTTCTCTTTACTCATTGATCGAACTATTTCCAATGTTCCTCTCATAATATTCAACAATCCTTGGCGTTCCTGCTGCTCAAGAGCAATTCGAGCTTCGAGCTCCGCTTTATCAAGTAGATAACGCTTCTCTTCGAGCTCAATTTTGCGGGCAGCAAGCATGTTGGCCTCTTTCCCTTTAGCAATCTCTTCCAGCTTGTAATCATTCGCGTGTTCCAACACAGACGCAAACTTGGCCAAGGCATTCGTCGAATCCTTCACTGATGTTGACATAGAGCTGTGCAACCTTTCTTGAGTTGAGTCTTTATGGCGCCTTCATCTTCCGCATCGGCCGTTGAATCTTCAAGAATCTTTCGTTTCAATCCCTCCGCAGCAGTGGCACGGATTGCGTGTCTGTCCATCTCGCGAGGTCTTCCTGCTACATAGTTTCGTTCTTGTTCGCTCGTCTTTTGCATTGTTCTGCTTCAATCTACGAAACACAATGATTGCCAAGTATGACGGAGGATTGATCACTATGTTCGCGAGATCCTGCAGCAGCTGGTCACGTTCCGTGTACTGCTCATCTGTCCCTGACGCTCGAAGGGACGCAACACTGTCCTTTTGGAATGCAGAGAGCAAGTCGTCGCAGCGCTTACGACAACCTTAGGCACTGATGCTTTCGCCGTAAATCGGTCGCATGTTAACGGCGACTTCCGTCCATCGTCTGTTGCTTTGGCCGTATGGCGCGCAGTAGGGGCCAATAGAGATAACATCTTTCAAGATATCTACGTCCTGTGAAGCAGTGAAGCGATGGGCGTGCTTCTTCTTTGAATCACTATGCTCGATTTCAACCTGCTCTGCCATTGCAATGAACTGCAATTGTGAACGTGAACATGTTTCCCCCGTGAGAACGTCTCACTGGAAATTTCTAGAACTCACTTTCCCAGTGGGCTCGGCCAAAAGTTCCACGGGAAATGATCTCTGGAAATTCCCCGTAGCAAAATCTGTCTAATGAAGCGTTTGCGACTTGTTGGCCAATTGATTCGAATTGTCCACAGTATTATGGAAAAAGTAGTGTTTTGGATTGTCCACAGTATTAGGCCCTTTAATAAAAAATGCAGCTTCCAGCGACGTTAAAGTGGATGCGAATAACCGAAGACGCATAGAATCTACTGCAATAATTGTAATCAACTGGGAGTATTGCGTTCTTCTTCATATTCGTGAGACTGCAATGACTCAGGTGAATTGCATTGTTTCCTATTATGCATTATCATATCGACATATATGTAGATGATGTGAAGAGAGAATGACCTCCATCG